CTCCCCTTGACCCCCAAACCAGACTCAGATGACAATCACTGGAAGAATCTCTATAGCCTTAGGCATAAAGAACGACATAGTTTAGATGGTGAAGCAATGGCTGCTGGGGATCTCAGAGCATCCTCACCAAGAGCCAAGATTCCTTCTCTGCTTAAACATCTGCTTCCTTGTGGGTTTGCTGACTTTATGTGAGAACTATGGCAAAGGCCAGATTGGACAGGCACAGATTTCAACTTTATCCTGTGCAGAGTGGTCAAGCAGATGAGACTCCATGTAGGGAACACTCCTTTTCTTCTTTTCCTCTTGATAAACTCTTCATCTTCTTTTCAAAGTCAGCTCAGACATCACAGCTCAGTCGGTGGTGTCTTCTCTCCCCTAGTGAGACGTGAACATTCCCTTTTCTGCAAAAACTTGTCTTGGGGACATCACTTTGTATCTGCTTATTTCTATGCAGGCTTCCTCTCCTGGATCATTAGCTGTTGGAGGTTGAAGCTCAAGTATCACCCATCTTTGTTATTTCCAGCCCAGAGCCTGGTTCACATGTTGTAAGTGATCAATACCCAGTTGTAAATGGAAGTAAACCAATCTATTTAACCAGTGAGTCTTGATAGCTTGATGCTGTTACTTTAAAAAAAAATAAACTTTTTATTTTGTATTGGGGTATATCCCATTAATAATGTAATAATTTTGGTGAACAGCAAAGGACTCAGCCATACATATATATGGATCCCTTCTCCCCCAAACCCCCTTCCATCCAGGCTGCCAAATAACATTGTGTAAAGTGTTACCTTTTTAAAAAATTGAAATACAGCTGATTTACAATGTTGTATTAATTTCAAGTGCTGAGCAAAGTAATTCAGATGTGTGTGTGTGTATATATATACATACATATGTATAATATGTATACACATATTATATATACATATATAAATACTCATATAAGTATTTATAATATATATACTTATATATAACAAGTATAATAATAATATATATAATATATATATAACCCTTTTTCAGATTCTTTTCCCTTATAGATTATTATAAGATATTGAATGTAGTTCCCTATGCTGTGCAGCACGTCCTTCTTGTTTATCTGTCTTATGTATAGTAGTATGTCTCTGTTAATCCCAAACTCCTAATTTATGCCTCCCTCACCTTTCCCCTTCGGTAACCATAAGTATGTTTCCCGTGTCTGAGTCTGTTTTTGTTTTGTAAATAAGTTCATTTGTTGATGCCGGTATTTTGAAGAGAGACAAAGCAGGAAAGACCAAATCCATGTGTGAACTGCCAGCCCATCCCATCACCCCAGTGCACACAGTCACACACAGGTGGCCTGCGGGCCCTGGAACTGGACACTTCATGATTATGAGCAATGACAGAATCAAATGCAAGAATGGAGACTCCCGGTACACGTCTACAGCGAACGGACTGTCTGTGACCATCCACCTAGAGTTGAAAGTTACCTGTCTACATGTGCTTGAGAATATGACCAAGATTCTCACAGTCCCCTTCATAAAGCAGCTTTTCCATAAACCTGGATTTGTACTCCATGGAGATCAGAGCCGTAATGGAGCTTAGAAGCCAGGGCTCATGCATGCCCCTAACGACTGAGTGCGGAAGACTGGCTTTTCCTCCAGTCTGTTGCTGGTACAAGGGATATGGCCTCACTGCGCTGGTTACACTGAAACCCAAAACAAGGGCTTTTTATTTTATTTTATTTTAAATTTTGCTAAATGTATAATAGATAGATGGCTGGTAACTTTCTTCTTTTTCCCATTTATTTTTATTAGTTGGAGGCTAATTACTTTACAATATTGTAGTGGTTTTTGCCATACATTGACATGAATCAGCCATGGATTTACATGTGTTCCCCATCCCGATCCCCCCTCCCGCCTCCCTCTCCATCCCATCCCTCTGGGTCTTCCAGTGCACCAGCCCTGAGCACTTGTCTCATGCATCCAACCTGGGCTGGTGATCTGTTTCACCCTAAACAAGGGCTTTTTAAAAAACAATCAAGCAGGCTGACTGATGCCAACTGGATAAACTGCCATATTTGCATACCTGAGGGCAGAACCCACACCGACCTCTTAAATTGTTTCCTGTACAATGATTTTATTTTGGGTTTAGTTTGATCTTGCAGATTCCTGCTTCCTTCACAGTTGAAGGCATTCCATATTCATCTGGTATAATGGCATGCATCATCTATCAAAGCAGAAACTTGTTCTCTTGTTTCCTGCAGCCTGTAGCCGATGCCACATTCAGCTGAAAAGTGTGGGAGGTCAGCAGTGAACAGGGTAGTTGATGTCACTAGAGATTATCACACTAAGTGAAGTAGGTCAGGAAGAGAAGGACGAATGCCATAGGATATCACTTATATGTGAAATCTAAAATATGGCACAAATGAACGTATCTATGAAACAGAAGCAGATTGATAGAGAACAGATTTGTGGTTGCCAAGGGAAAGAGGGTGTGGGGGAGGGACGGACTGGGAGTTTGGGGTTGGTAGACGCAAACTATTGCATTTAGAATGGATAAACAACAGGGTCCTAATGTATAGCAAAGGGAAAACTATATCCAATATCTCGTGATAAACCATAATGGAAAAGAATATTAGAAAAGAATGTCCATATGTGTATAAGTGAGTCACTTTGCTGTATAACAGAGATTGGCACAACATTGTAAATCAGCTACTGTTTTTGTTGTTTTAGGTGACTCTTTGTGACCCCATGGACTGTAGCCCACCAGGTTCCTCTGTCCATGGGATTCCCCAGGCAAGAATGTTGGGAGTGGGTTGCCATTTCCCTCTCCAGCAGATCTTCCTGCCCCAGGGACTGAACCTGTGTCTCCTGCTTGGCAGGTGGATTCTTTACCACTGAGCCACCAGGGAAGTCTACTATACTTCAATTTTTAAGGAAAAGCCCTTACGAGGGAATGGAGTTGATCACAGCCTTTTAGGTAAACTTACCAGGATGTTTCATGCATTCTGGATTCACAGAGATGGAAGGGACCTTAAGAAACAGAGACAGAATCACATGCCTTGGGGCCATCCCACTAAACACCCTTTTCAGGCACATGGATGAGTGAGTGTCATTCAAGAAAGGAGATTCCATTACCATCAGTAATCAATTGCTGTGTTTAATAACTTCCCCTAATAAAAAGATCTTTCTTACATCCGACAAACATCTTTCATACTGCAATCTCTCTGCCGAGTAATTCTTCAGAGTGGGGATGAAAGAAATCATTCATCATCCTCTTTTCACATAAGTGTGTAGAAGACGGTCCAAGTCACCATTCGGCATTGTTTCAGTTCTTTTCTCACTTCCGATACTCTGGCCATCTTTGTTACTGTACAATCCCTGCCAAGTTCCCCACATGCAGACACCCACTTCTGGGGCAGATCATTCATGAGCACTCAGTAGCATGAGTAATGAGGTGGTGGTTGCTTGGTTCTGGAATGTGACGTGGGGTGAATGCTTTTCCAAATTGGATTTTCTTTAAGAAACCAACATATATTTAAACATCTATCATGTGACAGGCACTGTGCTGATTTGTGTGCCATGTGCACTTGTGTTTCCTTTAGCTCACTCTGCTGGAATAAAATTAATTCCACGCGGGGAGGTGGAGGAGCCGATACAGGCTTCTAGAGGCTTCCGTCCCCAAAGCAGCTGGGGCAGGAATTGCAGATTTCGGCAAAGAGGCATCTGGTGAATCCTTTCATACATATTTCTTATACTAGTGACTGTGTTACCAATTCCCTCTGTCATCACGAAATTACAGAGCCTGAAAGAATGGGAAGGTCATCTGAGCAAGTTTACAATGTCATGGTGAGAGTGTCTCACCCAAAAGACCCCAGGTCCACCCCTTACTACTTGAGATACTTTGGGAAGATCGTTTATCATCTATGAATCGCAGGTTCCTTATTTATAAAGTGGACTTTTAGTACATTATTTTCATGAGGATGAAGTGAGATAATAATGCAAATTGTACATGGTAGCTACTGTTTTATACAGCTGTCTATTTGCTGCTTAGAGTTTTCTAGGAATGCAGTCATGGTATCTACTTTCTCGTTTTTTTTAGTAATTTATCAGCCAAGTGACCGTGACTCCTTCCTTATACTCAACTGAAATCTGTCCAGTTAGAGGTGTTTTCATTGTAGTTGCTGACTTTCTCCTGGTTAGTCAAACATTTGAGTACTAGTCAAACATTTGAGTACTAGGTGGACTTCTCTCGTGGCTCAGATAGTAAAGAATCTGCCTGCAGTGCAGGAGACCTGGGTTCTATCCCTGGGTCAGAAAGGTCCCCTGGAGGAAGAAATGGCCACCCACTCCAGTAGCATGTGAGCATGTGTTTCCTTTAGCTCACTCTGCTGGAATAAATACTACCCACTCCAGTATTCTTGCCTGGAATATTCCAAGGACAGAGGAGCCTGGCAAGCTACAGTTCATGGGGTTGCAAACAGTCGGACATGACTGAGTGACTAACACTTTTTCTTTTCTTTTAAGTACTAGGCACAGTCATAAGCAGCTTTAGAGATGCTTTTTATACCTTATTCCATTTAATCCATCCTCCCTCCTCCACCCAGGTGACAGAACCAAGTCTATTCTCAGAGACATGAAAGAAGGCCCCTGGGAGCACACAGATAGAGCCTGGATCCTAACCTAATCTTTCTTCTCTTTTGCCTCTGCTATGCTCCCCCAAGACACATACTAAGTCTCTGTTTTATACACTAAATCATCCTTTCTTCCCCCAATTTGGCAATCTAATAACAAGAAAAAGAAAACTATCATTTAAGAAACTTAAATCATTGTACTACTTGAAATCCTTTTTGGAATGAACAATAATAATGATAATGTTGGGTTACATGTGAAAGGTGTGTTTCAAATATGAGTGGAAAATTAAACCAATGATTAGTAGTGGTAGGTCCAAATTATTTCAGGTTTGGTTAGTTTTGGCCAAGTTAGAAGGATTAATATTTTCCATCTCATCACACCTTTACTTACAGATGAACAGGCTTTAACGTAACATGATCCTGGTAGTAGGAGTGTGCATCAAGTCCACCTATGAAATCAACTGTAAATACAACATAGCCCAGTATGAATAAGTGTGCAAGTTCACATAATAGTAGATGACTTAAAAAGAACACACAAAAAGTTAACAAAAATATTTATCACACAATGGAAGAATGTGTATTTAATATAAAGACTGTTCAAAATATTATCAGTGGTCAAAAAATGGGGAAATTTTAAAAAAATTTTTAATGGAGGATAATTGTTTTACAATGTTATGTTGGTTTCTGTCATACACCAACATGAATCAGCCACAGGAATACATATGTCCCCTCCCTTTTGAACCTCCCTCCCACCTCCCACCCCATTCCACTCCTCTAGGTTGTCACAGAGCACCTGAAAAAAATGGGGAAATGTGAAGAAACACACACAGAACTTGGGATCTTAGGGACTGAAAAATCACAGTTGTTACTGGCTTTAGTAAAAAATGAAGTATACTAAATAGTATTAGATTTTAAATAATGTGCTTGTCCTTAGGCATACAAATATGCCCTTTCCCCTCATATATCAAAAGATATACCTTTTCTTCTTGTTGCCAGAAACCACTTTTTTTTTCTTTAAGAATATTTATTGCATTATTAGAAAGACCTTTGAGAAGTCACAAAATCTATGTCCTTGCCCTCTGTCTTCAAGCAATTCCTGACAAATAAGCACCTGCATTTTGCAGAGAAAGTTTCAGCTTCTCTCTGGTAGTGTGGTACTTGCCTCATACTGTATAGACTCAGTAATATTGTTAATATTCTGTCTAATCTGTTTCCGCTTTGATCAAAACCTCAATCTTTCTTTTGCAAACCTAATATCCATGGTTAATCTTAGCTCATTTCTCCTGTTTTTTTTTTTTTTTTTTCCTGCCGTAGTCCATTAAAGCTATTAATTAGGTCCTATCAAGCTCTGGTTATATTATAGTACTCTAATATTAACAAGTATGTGGGTATATAGGAACACTCTGAGCTTTGTATGTGTGTGTGTTTAGGTACACAAGTTGTGAATATTTTATCATATTCTCCACTCAAGACAGGCATGCTAGTAAACTGTGATTTTGAGAAAGATGAATTAGCCTAGAAGTTCAGAGGGGCCAAGAAAAGCCCATCCTTTTCCTACCAAGGCACAGAAGTCACCGGACGCAACCTTAAGGAGAGAAGTAGTGAGAGAGGAGTCAATCGGAGACACTGAAACGATTTTCCCAGGATTTCCCTGGCTGTCCAGTGGTTAAGAAGCCACCAGCCCATGCAGGAGACACAGGTTTGATCTTTCCTTAGGGAAGATCCCACAATGCCTTGAGGCAACAAAGCCTGTAAGGCGCAAGAAGAGAAGCCACTGGGATGAGAAGCCCGTGTGCAGCAAGAAGACCCCATGCAGCCAAAAAATAAATAAATAAAATACTTAAAAATTCTTCTATTAAAGAAGGAATCTTATCAGAGAGAACTACCAGTGTCTAAAGGGGTCATTTAGTCAGACTAGATTAAGTTTTTATTAGATTAGATATTTAATCAAATATCCAACCCCTGACCTTGTTGACCAATGGGTGAAAATTTAGAAGGAAAAATCACCTGATCAATTAACATTGTTGATTAAAAATTGAATGGCCCTAAAAAAAAATGTTCGGTAGTACTATAATTTACTGAACTGATATGGAAAATATTTTCATAGTTAAAGATACTATGATTTACAGAGGCACCTTTGGAAGTTGAAGGGTGTGTTAAAAGAAACAAAATTATAAATACATACATTCATGAATAAAATTATTCAATTAAAAAGTTATTTCAAAGTAAAATTATCTATAAAAATGAAGATTAAAAATCAATATACATATTTCTTCAAGCAGAATAAAAGAAAACTTTATATTCATTTGAACGTTAAAATGTTAACATTAACATAACGATTATTTTTTTGTATAAATTCATGTACTGCCATGAATCTGCTCCATGTTCCATGTCTGTCTGTAATATACTACATCACTGATCTTTTGGGGGAAAATATACACATATCTTTTCAATATGGTTTTATTATTTTTATAAATTTATTTACAATCTTATTCAACACTTCTTTTATGATTAGTAAACTTGAAATTGCTGATATCTTGATTGCCTCTGTAAATCATAGTACTTTTAACTATGAAAATATTTTCCATTTCAGTTTAGTTCAGTCGCTCAGTCATATCTGACTCTGCAACCCCATGGGCTGCAGCATGCTAGGCTTTCCTGTCCATCACCAACTCCCAGAGCTTGCTCAAACTCATGCTGATAAATGCCAAGCAGGTTTGCTACAGAGAGGACAGGTGTCATATAGTTTAGCCTAAATACTTGCAAACACTGCTATTTTACTTCCATTTAGCTCATCTTTCTGTGCCAAAAATTTTACAAGAAACAAAATAACTTGCATTTATTGATGATACTTTTTAGATCTTCTCACAAATTAAGTTTTTTTCATTTTGGTGCAAAATATATAAATTTGTCAAATAAAATGCAGCTCTGTCAAAAGAGTCTTTCAAGTCAAGAGATTTCAAAAGGAAACTATGAAACTGAAAATTAAATTTCATATAACATTTGAACTCTCAATATTTAATTTGTCCAGTTTGCTTGTTTTGTGAGCATAAATTTCCATGTTTTCCTTCTTTGTAAGCTTTCACTTATTGCCCTTTACTAAAATATTCAAAAGATGATTTTGGGGGTGCTTCATTTGTTGAATAATTTGACAAGTTCTTCAACTGATCTTAAATGCAGTGCAGCTAAAATGTGGAAGACTCATTTATAAAATGCTCATAGTCATTGTAGGAAACTTGGATTAATTTACGAAGTAGTTCTTTAAATACAGAAATGACCCTAAATGATTGATGAAGAGAAGCCAAGAGAGAAAACGTATTCTGTCATCCCAAAGACTTTGTTTTGTTTGCTTGTTTTCAACATCAATTGCATTACAAAAATATTCTCAGGGAAATGCAAACCAAAACCACAATGAGATACTACTTTATTCTCACCAAAATGGCTATAAAAATCAGATGATAAATGTTGGTAAAGATGTGGAGAAATTGGAACCCTCATGCACTGCTGGTGGTAATGTAAAATGTTGCAAGACAGGTGGTTCTTAAAAGAGGAAATACAGAGTTACCATGCACACGTGCATGCTCAGTCATGTCTGACTCCTTGCGACCCCATGGACTGTAGCCCACCAGGCTCCTCTGTCCATGGGGATTCTCCAGGCAAGAATGCTGGAGTGGGTTGCCATGCCCTCCTCCAGGGGATCTTTCTGACCCAGGGATCAAAGCCATGTCTCCTGCATCTCCTGCATTAGCAAGTGGATTCTTACTCCTAGGTATATACCCAAGAGAAATGGAAACACATCCACACAAAAATTTGGACATAAATTTTTAAACTCTCAATATTTAGTTTGTCCAGTTTGCTTATTTTGTGAGCATAAATTTCCATGTTTTCCTTTTTTGTAAGCTTTCACTTAATGCCACTTACTAAAAGATTCAAAAGATGATTTTGAATCATCTTTGAAAACAGCATTATTCATCATATCCAAAAGGTGGAAAAAGTAGGTAATTAAGAAACTGAAAACAGCAAGAATCTTTTATGGGTGGAACACAACAATGTGGTTTTTGACAACAGAAACCTAATATTTCCACATTAGAAAAATAGTTTTTTTTAAGCACACACTAACACTTCCCATTTGCCAGAGTAGGAATACAGTTTAAGTAAAGAGATAAACTGAAGTGTTTATAGATTTTAAAGTTTTTTAAAAATGATGCTTTAAAAACTGAAGTTGTTTTTTGACCCAACGAAATACTTGAAAACAACTCAGTAGGAAATACTTTCAGCTTTTAAGCTTTCATCGTGGTAGTTGTATCACACTGTTAAGAAGTGAAGTGACTGTGTATTCTAAAAGTCACTGTAATGAGAAAGATGTGAGAACAAAATCTGCTGAATTAAGGAGTTGCTCCAGTAGAAATAAGGAGATGAATTGCAATGAAACCTGAGAAGTAGCAGAAGAGGTGGAGATGGGTTTTCAGAAATATTAGAAAAGGAGAATTAGAAACAAAACATCATGAAGTCTGAAGTAATCACAGCAAGAGCACCATCTAAGGGTCTTTGGTAGAAGAGTGGCCTTGGAGGAGATGAGGAAGATAGAGGGTAGGGGGTGTGCACAACTTGCTGAGTGACCTGCAGGATAATTGACTTGAATTCTCTGGTTATTAAAGTCTTAAAATGTAGAAGAGAAAAATCAGCACAATTAAGAGCTGGCATCAACGGTGCAGAAAAGCCGGTTACAGAGAACATTGCCCTCTTCACCCATTCTCGGAAACTGAGGTGTTACTATCAAAGATCCCTTGGGGAGAGCCCACAGCCAGGAAACCCCATTGTTCATAGTCCTTTCAAATGTATCTCTTATGCCAACTTCCAACCGCAGAGCCAAGCGACTTCTTGGAACAAATTATGTTACTTGCATTGGAACATCTTTGTGGCTATTCACTCTCCCCATGGCAGATCCCAGACAGGGGTTCTCACTGACCTGGAGGAACTCCAAAGCCACTCTGGACTTACAGCATCATCTTACTGTACAAACACAGACCTGCTTTCCATTTGTGGGACTTCCCTGGTGGCTCAGATGGTAAACAATCCGCCTGCAATGCTGGAGACCCGGGTTCCATCCCTGGCTCAGGAAGATCTTCTGGAGAAGGGAATGACTACCCACTCAAGTATTCTTGCCTGGAAAATTCCATGGACAGAGGAACCTGGTAGGCTACAGTCCATGGGGTCGCAAGAGTTAGGAACGACTGACTGACAGTTTCACTTTTCTTTTTTTGTTTTTCACTTTTCCACTTGTAAGAGATTCACAACTGAGTCTTCTGTATGACTACAGGGAACTTTTGGTCATCAGTGAGGTTTCTAATTGATAACTCAGTACTACCGACTTAGGGCTTCATTCGGACACTGCAATCCTGATTGACACCTAAAGCAAGACAGGCCATTTTCAGTGAGCACTCAAGCTATCATTTATGTC